TGGGCAGGGGCGGAGGAGGCCCGTCCCCACCGGTGGATATCAATGATCGCCGGCGCGGAGGCCTCTCTGCACCGCGGCGCTGCGTGCCCGGCCCCGCGCTCGTTGCAGCGAGCAAGGTGCAAGCAAAGACGGTGCCCGCTGCATTGAGCAGGGTGCAAGCTGCAGCTCACCCCACCGCTCGCCACGGGCACCCTCAGGTCGGGCTTTTCCTGGAGTTTCCAGCGGCTTTCCCGAGGAAGCCGCACTCAGCGCGCTCCCATTTAAAGGAGGGAATAGCTTCTCTCCAAGCGGGAGCAGGAGCTCGCAGGGCGCCCGGTCCTCGTGCACGGGCAGCCCCCACGTTGCCCCCGTCCGGGTCACGAGGCTCCTGCGGGCCGGTGCCAAGACGCTCGCACGGAGCAGCCGGGATAGTTCTGCTCTTGAATCATCTGGCAAGGAGCTGCCTCGAGGCGGGGGAATTAAAACAATAAAGAAATAAATGAGGGATGTTTCCAGGGCCTGCTTCCTCGGGCCTGGCAGGTCATGCATCTCCAGGAGGGACTGGGGACATCCCAACCCTCTGGGGCAATGGGAGATGCCTGGGCATTGAGGGGCTTTTGGGAACAGCTCCGAAATGGCTCCGGCTGAGCAAGCTGAGCCCTCCCAAATTCATTGCACCAGGGGCAGGAGAGCTCCCAGGGAGAGGAGCTTGGGAATTGTCACTTTGGGGGAGAAACAGCAAAAGCGTCAAGGTGGTGGGTGAGGATTCCTGCTTGGGAACCCGGTTGCGGTGCCTGGGCCGGAGCGGGAGGGCGAGTTCCCATGGGAGCAGCAAGAGGGGAGGGAAAGAAGAAAAAAAGAGGGAAAACGAAGATCGATGCCGGTTTCACGTTGCGCTGTAGTCACTTAATTTTATGCCCCAGCAGCAGCGCGTCCGGCTCGGGAACTGCTGCGCTGGCTGCTCCCGGCCCGGGTGTTTTTCCCAAAGGCGGCTCCCGGCACAGCGAGCAGGACCAGGGTTTGCAGAACGGCAGCGGAGCGGGGACGAGCGGGTCCTGCCGCTGCAGGTGGCGATGACACCGGAGCGAGGAGGTCTCGTCCTCGAGTGTGCGAGGTGGCACCTTCCCTGCTGGCCCCGGCATCGCGCGTCCCGTTCCAATGGGAAGGTTGGGACAGCACAGAGCCCACGCAGCCGGCTGGGGGGCACCACGGGCAGGGGGTGAAGCTGCCGCTTCCCTCTTCCCCCCTTCGCTCTGGGTCAAACTGTTCTTTATCAAAACGCCCCTCTGGGAAATGGAAATGCGCTGAGCCGAGCGGTTTCATAACCATCCCTCCAAGGTCCCGAATCCCGGCTCCCTCCCGAGCGGCACCCTGGGGGTGAGCGCTCGTGGGAGCCTCCCAGCCAAGGCCCTGCTTCCCGGGATGTGCCAAGCCAGCAAGGACAGCAGGAACTCGGAGCCCGTTCTAGAGGCCAGGGGAAGGAAACGTCCCTCTATCCCGCCCTGGTCCAGCAGTGCCGGCACCAGCATCCTCCCCAGGAACGGCATCGTCGCCCAAGCACCGGGGGAGGCTCGAGCCAGGCAGGAACGGAGCCTCCCAGCTTGCTGCAGAGCCGCGGATCGAGGAGGGAAGTTTGCATTTGCTCTCTGCCTCTAAAGCCTTTAGGTTAACGCTCCGGCCGCGCTCCCAGATTTTCTCTGTAAGCTCCAAGGCGAGAAACTCATTTAAGGGAGGAAAAGCAGAGCCGGGCGCTGCGTCGGTTGGCCACCAGGCACCTGGGCACGGCCCCTGCGGCAAAGGCATCCCGGGCTGGCCCATGGCAGGCGCTCGGGTGCGATTTGGGATCAATTTGCCGGCAGAAGGAGCCGGCGCTTGTCCAATAAACGGCATCGGCTCAGCCCTGCTCGCCGCTCCCAGGGCGGAACGGCTCAGGAGGGGGGAAGCGCGTCGCTCCTCTGCGGCGTTCCCATTTTCCCATTTCCAGCCCCGCTCAGGGAGGCTGCTAAGCCCAAGGACGGGTCCTGCGAGCAGCTCTGTCCGGTACCGGTGCCACCACCTGCCTGCCCATGAGCGAGGACGGAACCGAACTCCTCTTTCCTAAACCCAGCGCCCAGATGGAGGCTGACAAAGCGCTCCCAACACCTCTGCCCCATGACGCTGCCGCAGCTCCCGGGCTCCCCGGGCACCGCGGGCGAGAGGCACTTGGAAAACTCAACGGGCAGTGGAGCGGGAGCCCTCCGATCCCCCAGGACACTCTGCTCCCACGGCCGAGTTGCCGCAGGGGACAGGGTGGCTTCACCCTGGGTGCCCTGGTCCTGAAAGCAGCAGCCTGCAGCGAGGGGCAGAACCTCAATTCCCTGCAGGAAAAGCTCTTTCGAGGGCAGCATTTGCAGCAGTCGCGTTCCCTGGGGAGCTCGGGTGTCCTGGTGCCGAGTGACAAAGCCGGCCTGTCCTGGCCGTGCGCTGCCTTCGGGGAGACCTGCTCCCCTGCCCCTCCGTGGGGCACAACCCGTGCGCGGGTCGCAGACCCTTGCAGAGGGACTGGGCACCGCAGCGGGGCTGGCCCAGAGCTTGGCTAAAAGCAGCCATGACCCAGGAACGGGGACAGCTCTGGGGACAGAGTGCAGCTTCGGGGGCCACAAGCAGCCCCCACGGCCGGGCTGCCTCCGGGTTTGGGGCTGCCCCCACCAGACATGGGGACCCATGGGGACAGGTCCCTTGCCCCAGATGTGCCCTCCAGGCCCCACCATACCCCTACATTGGGAACAGGGGACAGAGTCACCCACTCTGCAGCGGGACCCCAGGACCTCTCCAGCTGGGGGTACCCGGCCCCAATCCCCTCCACAGCTCCCTGCTCCTTCCTCCTTTTTCCGCGGAACCTGGGAAAGGGGCTG